ACTAGGGATGTGTGAGAGGCAACCAATCGATGTTTCTCTGGCACGTTGATGTTTCTCTCCCTCTCTTTCTCCCTCCCTTCTCCTTTCTCTGAAAGTAAATAAATAAAATCTTAAAGAGGACAATATTAATCCTGCTTGAATCTTTGGGGAGTAAAAAATATTTCATAGCATATAAAGTTAAAATGAAAAGTTAGTCTTACTCCCTTTTCTCATCTTTTCTTGAGGAGGACTCAAGAAAATGGAAATAACAAAGGTAAGGGAAAGATTTCAGCTCTGTAGATTAGTTTTCTAACTTTCTTGAAACTTGAGAATCGTGTTCCCTGTGGGCATTCTTCCTTGGGGATTCTCAGCCGTTTGAGCGGTTTACTCACTTCGGTGTCTCCTCTCAGGGGGATGAAGCGAGGCCGGTGGCCGGGTCTGCTGAGTCCGCAGCACTCAGACTACGTGCACCTCTGCAGCAGGTGCAGGCCCAGTTGTTGCCCCTCCAGAACATCTCCCCATGGATTCTGACAGTGCTGACTCTTCGGACTCTGAGGTAGGGGTTATCCGGATGTACTAAAGAGCTGTAGAACATCTGCTTGATGCCCAGTATCCCGAACCAGACAGATTAGGGTGTGAGTTAGCTTGGGTTGGGTTAAGGGTGAACATCTACTACCTTCCTGTTTCCAGGTGATTCAAGGTAAATGGATTTGGTGGGTTGTAGAGGTTATCATACAGCATAATGATTTATTTACATTGTAGAACCTAGTACTAGGTATTTTAGGTGGATTCTCAGGTGCATTCTCATAGTTGGACTCCATTTATTTTTTCCTTCTTGCAGTCTGATATCCTGTTGGGTATTCTGTTCAACCTGGACCCAGTCATGTTCCTCAGATGTCCTTCTCCAGAGCCTACCAGCGTGGAGCAGCTTCCAGAGGTCTACCCAGAAGGACCCAGTTCCTTACCGGCCTCCCCTTCTCCATTACTGGGGACGTCATCAGCCAAGCTGGAAGCCATTAATGAACTGATTCGTTTTGACCATGTATATACCAAGCCCCTAGTCTTAGAGATCCCCTCTGAGACAGAGAGCCAAGCTAATGTGGTAGTGAAAATTGAGGAAGCACCTTCCAGCCCCTCAGAGAAAGATCTCCCTGAATTAACTGTCGCAGTGAAGGAAGAACTTGTAGAAGATGACTTCATTCCAGAGCTGGACATCCCAGATGTACTTTCATCCAGCCACTGCCTGAAGCCATCTTCCTGCCTACTGGATGCTTACAGTGACTGTAGATATGAGGGCTCTCCTTCCCCTTTCAGCGACATGTCCTCTTTGCTTGGTGCAGACCATTCTTGGGAGGACAGTTTTGCCAATGAGCTTTTCCCCCAGCTTATTAGTGTCTAAGGAATGATCCACTACTACCCTTTTCCTTGACTATTACACTGCCTGGAAGATAGCAGAGGCGCCTTTTTGTGCTTCATTCAAAAGCCAAAGTAGAAGGTACATAGTGAAGAATTTGTCCATTCAAACCTCACAGGTCACCCCAGGTATTATCTTTTGACATTCAGCAGTGTGCAAGGTACTCTGATACAGTACAATAATGCAAAATTACAGCTTTTGAGGTTGTACCTTTATCTTGAGGGCAGCAGTTTGCCCTAAAATACTTACGTAGAGGACATCAGACAGGGAATTTATAAGTGGCCCTTTATCATTTCTCCCTTCTCAGTATCCCAGGCTTGCCTCCAATTTTAGGTCCTTAGTTTGCTTCTGCAAGCAAAGAGAAACCTACCTGAGGGGGCTCCTTTTCCCTCATGTACAGTTCCAGTAAAGATCAAGAATCTTTTATAAAGCTATAGAAATTTACTATGTAAATGCTCAATGGCATCTTTCCCTGCTAGTATAACTTCTGAAGGTGCTTTCTCCATTTATTTAAAACTACCCATGCAATTAAAAAGTGCAATGCAGTGTCTTTGTTCTTTGATTCTTGGACCTTATGTTCCCTCTAGGTGTTTCACTGTTTGCCATGGTAGTGATTTATCCAACTTCAGTAAGCATGCCAGTTTTTAAAGTGACTGAAGATTTTTCCCCCTTAATTACTGCCTGCTCCAATTCCTGCTGGCCATAAGTGTTACAATCTACTCTGAACAGTTACTGTATTTCTGAGAGTTTCTTCAGTCTAATGAACCATATCACAGCTAGTAAGTGGCAGAGCTAGAACCCTTAACCACTGTTTCGCTATACCATCTCGTGAGAGGACATGCTGTTAAATCAAAGTTTTCTTACAGTTATTAAAAGAATTAAGAGCATATTCTAGAAGCAGACTCCCTGAGTTTAACTCTGCCGCTGTTAGCTGGTAACCCTGGATGCCTCACATCACTTATTTCCTCATCCGCAAAGGGGCATAATAGTCAACATCTCTAACAGTTAAACAATTCACACAGATGATATAAGCACTTAGGATATGCTGGGCACCATCCCAAACACTCAGAAGTTAGCTATTACCACCTAATCCACTTTGGAAGGATTTTAATCTCTTACAGAATTAGATACACTCTAGAACTGGTTTCACTAAAGAATGAACCTGTTCAAGGAAAAATCCTAGATATTAATACAATCCCCAAACTAGACACTTGACGACCTCATCATCCTTCATGGTGCACCTCTTCCTTCGGAATCCTCTTAAAAGATATTAGCCCTGGCTGGTGTAGCTTAGTGGATTGAGCACAGGCCTGTAAACCAAAGCATCGCCAGTTTGATTCTCAGTCAGGGCACATGCCTGGGTTGCAGGCCATATCCCCATATGGGGTATGCTAGAGGCAACCACACACTGATGTTTCACTCCCTCTCTTTCTCCCTCCCTTCCCCATCTCTCTAAAAATAAACAAATAAAGTCTTAAAACATTTCACCCATGCCAGCATTCTATGCCAATATTTATTAAGACAACCCCTGGGGAGGTCAAAGTGAATGAGTACAATACAGAAAAGGAGATGGGATTCAAAGAGTCCCAAGCAGCAAGGCAATGCAAAGTAGAGTCTCAACCAAGCACAAGGGAATGCTTTTGGTGTGACTGGAGCCAAGTCTACAAGCATACTTGCAAGCAAGACAACCTAAGATCCTTGGTCACTGAAGCCAGAGCCCAACCCTGGCTCTTGGCATGCAAGTTTACTTGGACTCTGAGTTTCTGTATCGTAAATGTAAGGACTGTCTCCAGCTGTCCCTGTGATTAAAAACCTAACCACCTGATTTTCTATAACTGAAAACTTAAGAGCTGAAAATATATTTAGGGATTGTGTAGGCAGATGCAATTACAGATGCATTTTAAGCCTCCATCATAATAGCACGAGCATCTGGAGATTGAGGCTCAAGTAATTTCCATTCAATGACATCACATGAAAGAGGCAGCTGTACTAACAGGAAAAACACACAGGACATACATAACCTGTGTAGATTATCAGGGTTTTCATTTCCTGCACAGATGGGGGAAAAAAACTACCGCTCAGTCTTGAGAAAACACCTGGTATTCAAGGACATCTTCATATTGAAACACTAAATCCAATGGTTAGCAACAAAAATCAAGACCTTTTCCTACAAAACTGAAACACAATTTCTACTAAATGTTAAGAGTTGTCCATAATTGAAAGAATCAGGTGACAGATGGCTGCACAGCATTTCCTTGGGCCCTGAAACACCGATCTTTGTGTGCTTCCTTGCTTTTCTAGGCATACTACTGGAGCAGACACAAAGTAGGCACAAAACTGTAGGCAGAAGGTAATGCCGCCTACTCCAGGTATATTTTATGGCATTGGTTAAAGTCTATAATCTAAGAATTAAACCTTTACCTTGTGACTTCTCTATGTTCATTGAGAGACAGCAAGATTGGCTTATTTACCCCACTAATCAGTCGTTGAAAGACAACATATTTATCTGGCTGGAGTTGTTCTCTCTAAAATGCCAATGGTAGAATATTTAAACCAAATGGATGTACACAAAACTATATTCCCCCTCAAGTAATGACATATTACACTGCCTGAACCTCACTGTAGATTTTGATGAAATCTAAATGCCACTTTAGATATTGCTACAAAAGGACTGTAAAACCACTGGTCAAGTCTGAACACTGGACCTGGTGAATTGGATTATAATACAATCTTGTCATTGCTGCTAAAGTTTTAGTTAGCGAACAGGTAAAATAACTTCTTTAAGATTATTTATTTTTAGAGAGAGGGGAAGGGAGGAAGAGAAACATCAGTATGTGGTTGCTTCTCGTGTGCCCCCCTACTGGGGATTTGGCTTGCAACCCAGGCATATGCCCTGATTGGGAACTGAACCCTTTGGTTCCCAGCCCAGCACTCAATCCATTGAGCCACACCAGCCAGGGCTAAAAAAGAACTTTTAAAGATAACTTTTAGCTGAGATTTCCTAATTTTGGTGAAAAACAAAGTGAGATCCTGAGTTTTCTGTAACTGTAACCCAAACTTAACTCTGCCTTGCCCATACGTCAGGGATCCATATTTATTAACAAGGGTTGTAAATATGCAGGCAACACTGCCACCCAGTGACCTATCAAGTCGAGAGGAATGATCATGTAATTAAACATCATGCAATTTCCCTATTCCTTATTATTGTTAAAGGTCCCAAACCTATAAAGACAACAGAACTGTAAACTCTGTATTCTATTTTCAATTTCATATTTGAACATTTTTGAAGACTCAGTCACCACCACCATCTGAATACTGGCAATCCATTGCCATTACCAAGCAATGGTACTGCTGTTGACTGACAACAAAAGTAAATTGCTAGTAAGAGTAGAGAGCATTCTAAGGGCTTTGGAATGGCAAAACACAGTATGCCTGTTTTGCAAATAGCTAATTCATTTATGAAATTTACTTTTAGCCCCAAATAATTATCTCTTCAGAATACATTTTAGCCCCTCACTAATATGAACACTACTTCAAAAGCAAGTTAGAGGAAAGCAAAGTGGCTGTTACATTTACTCAAGTACATGAATACAAGTATCTCAAAAAGTCCAAAACACTTATGAAGTTTTATTGAAAACAATAAAATACAGTAACACCAGATTCTCATTTTAAAGTAAAATTGACAATTTTTCAGAATTTTCCTAGTGCTGTACCATTCTTATCACTATTAAAAAACAAAACCAAGTTCCAAATCCAAAATACTTAATAAACTTGCTGGTAAACATTCTTGCCATGGTTCTAATATTTTTCTAATTTTATATTTGCACCTTTCAACAATGAAATTTTTTTAAAAAATTGGTTGATTAATATTTGTGAGAACTTGACTTACTTTCCTCATACTAATTAAAAACAAAAAAACAAAACCCACACACACCCTACTCAAACTCAGAGAAAATATACATTTGTTCATTAAAGCTCACCTGCTTTAGATAATTTTTTTCTCTTCACACATTAGCATAGAAAGCTAATGTTTGATCCATGCTGTAAAAGCTGTACCAAATGAAAAGACTTATCCCTTTAGAAAAACCTTAAGGCAAAAGCAAAAGCCTTATGCTACAAAAGAAAAACAAAGCAGAGAAGCCTGGGGACTGTGGAGAAGGCTCAGATAAATAAGCACCACAAGGATGAAGATAATTTTTGCATGAACATATGAAAGAAGTTTAAAAAGAAGCATTAAACATCCATTTTCCTGCAGAAATAATTATGTCAGGTATCTTGACTCCTGAAACAAGTTCTATTTAGATTTTAACTAACAGAATCTTCATCCTCTCCTGTATTTATCAATGGTACCAGAGCCTTGTTTGGGGGCCCTTCTTTCCTCCTTTGCAATCACACAGACCTTTGACCAGAGGCCTGCCCAACAATGCCTACAGAAGACAATCAGTGTATTTGGGTGCTTCTTGGGAAAGCTGTCACCTCCCCTTCCACCCTACCGCTGGGACTAACTCCAAATTCCAGGCAGTCACTTCATGTTTTGGGGTTATACTAGAACAAACTTTTTTTAGCATGGAGATTTCTTTAAGGCTGCAAACTTTGCAAGTTGGTCCCATTGAACAATGACCTGAAAGCAGTTTTTCAAATGGCATGAATCAAACACTTGCAAATTCCAACAGAATACAGTTTACATTCATCTCTAAATCTGAGATTAAGAAACTATTAGCTGGTTTAAATACTGGTTTGAAGTTTGAGTAATTTTACTGTGTAGACATTAAATATTTTGTTTAAATATTAAACATTAAATCTTTTCCTGACTATCCAGACAGAAATAGAGAAAGCAGGAACAAACGGCAAGAGAAGAAACAGTCCAATAAACAGACTTGTGACTTCTACGCCATCTGTAACAAGGGAAGGGATTTCAGAGTGTTTCAAAAATGTCTGGGAGCTAGTTACTAAAGAAGTTACCTCTATACTTAGCATAAATCATTTCTTCCCCTACACAAGGTATCTGATTCCTCTAAAAGGGGAAGAAACCCAGAAAACAAAAAGAACTGGGGTGGTCTCCTGTTCACACTGTGTGAGGAAAGGGCCAGCATGACACTATTACACTCATTTAATAAGTTATAGTGAATATTCTGTAGCATTAAAGGAATTGTCATTTCACTTTGCACTACTGAGTCCTTGTCAAGCAGAGTTCTTCCTGAGAAATGAAAAACTTCAATCCTGGTTATCCCCAAAGGACATTTTGAGCTGGTTCAGGTCTGAAAAATGAAGACTTCCTTTAGCAGGAAGCTATTCTCCACTAACTTTCAGGATACTGCACAACAGTTGAAGCACCAGGCAAATTGGCTATTTCAGTAAATCTCAACATTGCCCGCACATATGGTCTCAGTTAATTATTCAGTCATTGTTTTCTAAATTAACATTAAAAACTCAACTAGCTTAATATAGGTACAACTTTTTCTTTAACTACTGAAGTTATCAATGCTGGGCTTAGTTAACACAGCACTTCCTTGGGATTACCTAAAAGATAACTTCTCTCATAGCCAATGTGCATAGGGGTTACCTTTAAATCATCACTCAAAGTTGATTAAGTTGTAAACATTACTGAATAGCTTGGCTTATCAATTATACAAGGGAATTCAAGGAGCTACAGTAATACAAAGCAAAAAACCCTCCAAGGAAAATCTCTTCTTTGTATTTTCATTGCATTTTCACAGAGGCAAAGAGGTGAGCCACAATGCTACTGGCTATTTAGCTACATTAAATTGACAACTAATGTACAAGTTTCAGAGCCTCTATTAAATTTCTTAGCAACAGGCTTAAGCTACTGCTTTTTCCCCCCTCCTTCTCCCTGAACCACTGTAAACAGAGCTCATATCTACAGATACAGTTATGATTCAACTGTCAGGGTACAGTTGTAGTGGCAGTATTCTTCTTTCTTAATGCATCTTTTTCAACTCAAGTGTCTGAGTTTTCTCCAAGTATTTGAATAGTTTAGAACAGGGGTGTCAAACCAGTCTCATGGTTGCCTTCAAAGGGCCAAATGTAATTTTAGGACTGTATAAATGTAACTAGTCCTTAACTAGGGGCAAGGTGCTTGGCACTGCCGCCAAGTAGAAACAAGGTGCCGGGCCAGATCAAACAAGGTAGAGGGCCGAATTCGGCCCTCGGGCCTTCTGTTTGCCACCTGTGGTTTAGACCATGTAACAAATGACTTAAGTCACCCTTACACGTATAGTTTCTATACTTGCCTGTGCACACTGTAATCTCACAATATTAATTCCTCTAGAAAACAGTTTTTCCCTTGAGACAAGCTTCCTTGGCAAAAAGTTGAATTTAAGAAATGGCTACCCAAAATGAGTCCCACCCCACATCACAGGTGGAGATACACCCGTTTCAATTAAACACATGAGCCTTCTAAAATTGACACCTTTAGTACAGAAACACATTTCTAGAGTTCCATCTCTTCTTCTGTGCAAGCAGCTGTCTCCAAACTACTGTAAATATGCATCCCTGTTTGTCGAGGTTCCAAGAACAGTTCAGTTCTCCCAGGGAAGGCGGTGCCGGCAACGGCATGCTTAGTTTGGCTCTCTCCTGTGTAGTTCTTAGCATTTGATGATGGCTTTGGCTTATCAGAAAGGAGTTCAGGGAGAGGTTTCCAGAGCACAAGCTCCATAGAAGGACGGCTCCTAAGACATAAAATACAGATTTTTTAACAAAAAATTTTAGGACATGAAAATAAAAGCTGTATGTTAAAAAGCTAATGTCTGCTATTTAATGTGTAGAGTTAAGAAATGACGATTTATGATAATCCAAATTAATCTTTAGAAAGGACACTCAAATACATAAAATTTTACAGTTCTGCATGCATTTTTTAACCAAACCAACTGGTTCTACTGGTGCTGTGATAAGAATACAAACATCCAATGTGAAAAAATAAGAGGTCTTTAACATCTTAACTTTTCTAATAGTATGATGTGGGCTACTATCTAGTACTAAACCATTATAGATGAAAATGAAACACTGGACAAACACATTAAGAGTAATTCAGTATTCACTTTACTCAGTATAGCTATGATGTACCAGTGTAAATGCTTTTTGAAGCAAACCTAAACGATTATGGACCCAATGTCTACGCCTGTCCCCACTATGCCCTCCTATGCGCCCCGCCAACCATTAATGACTTGATGGTCTAGAGCCCAAAGGCAAGTCAGGCAAAATAAAGCACGAACAATGAAGACCTCCAAAGGTTAGCTTATGGAAAACTACCAAGGCTGGAGGGCAATGTGATCTGCTTACTCTTGGCTAACCTATCTACCCACCCTCAGGGCTGGGCAATAAATTACAAATTTAAGCTAGATGGCTAATCCAAAATCTCTGTGAGCTAACATCAAGCAGCAGCTGAACTCACTTTACCTAGCATCATTAGGACTGGTGTCCTAAGAGAATTTTTCAGATATTTGACCCTCACCCCCACTAAGCAGCAATTCCTATCAGAGCAACACCTAAATGGCACTTCATAACTTGCCTACATGATATAATGATGACTTGAGATCATCTAAGGCCCACGAGAATTACAGAGCTATTAGTTCTTGTGTTAATGAGCCCCAGGCTCATGCCCACTTTCCAGTTTCTTCTCTTGTCCTCACACTATACTTCTACTACTCACTACTATGAGTTTGTTTGTTCTGCTGTCACTAGCTGTTTCTGTGCTTCTACTGATGATCTAGGAAACCAGAAAACTGAACTCATTAAACTGTGTCTACGGACAAGGTGGTTCTTAGGGCTAAGAACCATAGTGTACTGAAAGGCCTTCAATACACTATGAGACAAGCATATGAGCTTTGATTTGTAGCCTTTGTGATAACTTTTTTGATTGCTGGAAGACATTTTTTATTTACTAGGTTTTGATGGTGTTCCCCAGATAACTGAAAAAGCCAGGTAAACAAGTAGTTTTGCCATGTGAATCTTATGCCCCTTTCATGGACCTCACCTTTCCCTTCCCTCTCCTTCCCCCAAGGCATGTTCATTACCTTTGCCTTTCTCTTCCCTAAGCTCCAAGGGCCTTCTGCTCTGTAACTTGTTTCCTGAGCCTATGCAACCCAGTTTTTTTCTATTTCTATTACTTTCATAACTTTCTAAATAAACTTCCTCTTATAATTCGAAAATGTTTTTGAAAAGAATGGACTCTCTCTTCCCAATTCTCCCATTCCCAAATAGAATACAGTAAATTTCGGGACTTCAAAAGAATCCAGCGTACATAGGCAAAGCAGCCTGAATTGAAAAGGTCTGTCTGCAACCTGGGCTAAATACAAAACCTACTGTGCTTTCACTTGGCTGGTGATCAGGACATGAAGAGATGGCTAGAGTAGGGCACCCAGCATCTAGAGACACTGGGTTTTCCCTCCAAGATCGTAAATGAATGGAAACCAGGAACCAAAACTTACATGGACTCAATCATTTTCTTTGTAAAGACTTCATCAAATTCCCTCTTCAAACCTGTTTTCATGGTATCAGAAAGGACAAGACTGGGGAGATGGTTAATATTTCTGTCAGGTTCAACTTCTTCATCTTCGTCAATTATCCTAAATAAAGGCAGCAGGAGCAGAGAAAGAAAACTTACTTAGTCAAGCTATTATATATTCTAGCAACTGGACACAACTTTTAAAATAAAAAAGGGTAAAGGCAACAGGTGCTATATCAAAAGGTCAAGTAAAAGGAGGCTATACCTGAGTGAAAAAATTATACACAGAAGAGTTATTCAATAGTTAACAAAAGTTTTATGTTAGATGCAACCAAATTTGAAGAATGTATCCCTGAAAAGTCCCATAAACCAAAAGTTAATATATAGAGATAGGAAGTGAAAATATTCTGTCCAGTTCTATGAGAAGAGGTTCTTTTATCATTTAATGTGTACATGAGTTTCCTTATTTTTACAGTCTCTCTGAAAGGTTTAGGGTCAAAGTATCATCACATGATGAATTAGACTAGATTAAAAGAGTAACAACATTGCACAGAACAGCAACATGCCCTCTATATATACTGCCCATTTACCTGTCCTCAATTTCCTGAAGCCTCCTTCTGGCAACTTCACACTGAGGTTCTCCAGTTGTCTGATCCATTTCTTCACAAATAACATCTAACATGCCAGGTGCAGAAAGGCCACTAGTGCATGGATTTACTCCATGACCTTCTATATCCTGATGTGCACAAAGAATCCAGTCATTAGGACCAGCACAGAGCCCTGCTTCAGTTAGCCTTTTCTTTCTTACTGGGCAACTGGAAAAAAAAAATTACAATGAAAATCCTGACTAACATAAATGAAATGTATACTATCCCTCTAATAAAATTCTTATATGGAATAAACTAACAATTTTTGACAGTGTGTGTTTACAAGATGGAAAAGCATGCACTTTCTTTTCTGTCACTCTCACAAACACCTTGAGAAGTCTTCTTCTACTGCTCTCACTGCCAAACTAAGCTGTACCTGCAAAATTCTGCTTTTTCAAATTAGAAGTGCTCGTGGTGGGAACTTGAAGTCATTCCTATTTATTTGACTCTGGATGGGTCAAGTGGGAATAAGGAAAAGCAGCAATCCAGCACCAGCCATATTTTGTCAGACTGCTGCTGCTCCATCAAACTGGTCGTATGGGGAGGTGGTCTGCAGGCACCCTATATTCCCTTATGGCAAAAATACATGCCTCATCAGGTCTGTTCCAAATACCACAGGTGATGTATTACTAATTTCCTGGTACTCTGCCAAATGTCATACTGTCATTTGACTCTCTGAGTTCTTGACTAATGAGGCACACTATTCTTCAAACATAAACTATCTTTACTTCCTAGAAAACTTACATTTCATAGACTTTAGAGTTCATCCTCTAATTTCTTTGTTTTGCAGATTTGGAAACTAGAACCTAGAAAGACTAAAGTGCCCCCTCCAAAGTGTCATGTAAGATATGGCTACATGCTGGGCACCAGACAGACCCCAGAGGTCTCGAATCGTACTTCTGTGCCATTTTAACTAAAACCTCCAGCCTCCTTAGTAACGTTCAACTATTCAAACTCTTACCATGAACTAACATTTACAAGCACTATGACGTGACCAGTTTAGTTGAAAGCTGCCTGAAGCAAGTTAAGACAACCAGCCACTTCCTTAGAAATACTTTCTATTTCAGTATTTAGACCAAAAGTACTTTATTGTCTAGGCATCAGCAAGTACAATCTCAAGACCAGAACAGAGCTCTACAACCAACAAAATTCATTCATGACCACCACAGCTTCTCATACTCTAAACTGAAGGTCAAAGGAAGCGGTACATTTCACAAGGAGAAGTTTCTCTTCTATGTTACGACTATGAAAATCAATATTAAAGTTTCTGGTGATACAAAGTCTGACAAGTAATAATGTTCTCTTGAACCTAGATTTTTGTTTGGAATCAGCTATTAAATGTTTAATTTGTAATTAATTTAAATTCCTAAGAAAATTTTAAGAATATCTAGTTATTCATATTTCTATAATACTTGAATCATTTCAAGTATGTGATGTTTTGAAAAGCAGAAAAAAGTTAAGCACATAACAAAATATTTTAAGGAAAACAGAATAGATCTAGAGGGAACAGGTAATTTCCTAGCACGTCTAACAATTCAACTATTTAATGAAACCAAGTGTAAGTGCTGGGTTCTGATTTCTGTCCTCCAACATGATTTGGACTAAATTATGTCATGCCTATAGGTCTACTTTGCAAATAATGAGGGAAGAGTGATGATTAAGTCCCAAAGAAAAGGTCATGTAAATGACTTCCGAGTACTGATAAGAGCTGTGGAGTGGCAGCGGGACAGCACACTTCTGGGCATTCTACACCCAAAGGTCGAGTCCCTCACCCTCCCAGGGACTCACTCTCTCCATCTGTAAGTTAAAGGTGGATAACTTTTTAAAAATTTTTATTTACTGATTTTAGAGAGAGGAAGGGGTAGGGGAGGGAAGGCGGGGGTGGGGAGAGAAAGAGAGAGAAACATTGATTTATTGTTCTACTCTCTTATGCATTCACTGGTTGCTTCTTGTATACACCCCGACCAGAGATCAAACCTGCAACCTTGGTGTATCAGGATGACACTAACCAACTGAGCCATCTGGTCAGAGAGGCACTAGAATCCTTTATTCAACAGCCTCTCATAGGAAACCCCAGCAAGATGAAAGCAAAGAGGTCCCTGTGTACCCACGGCAATCCCAAGGCAACAACGAACATAAATACTGTCTGGACCAGTGGTTTTTAAAATAAGGCAACTTTCAAATCTACTATCTTTTCCCCCTTAACTTTAAAAATATTTATTTATTTTTAAAGAGAAAGGGCGGGCAGGAAAGAGAGAGAAATATCAATGTGGATCAGCTGCCTCTCCCACGCCCCCAACTACAGACCTGTCCTGCAGCCCAAGCATGTGCCCCCACCGGGAACTGAACCCGCGACACTTCGGTTTGCAGGCGGCGCTCAATCCACTGAGCCACACCAGCCAGGGCAGCTTGTAAATTTTTAAATTATCTTCCACAGGAGATACAGGTAACAGGCAACGGGGTTGCCCCTGGGAAGAACTGTGAGCGTGGAAAGTAAGCCTTTTCACCACGCACCCTCTTACACACTTGGAATTCTTTTACTTTGTGCATGTAACAACATTCACGGGGCTGAAAATTTCAACTTGACAATCCATTATAAAATGAAAAGTTTCTGAACTTTGCCAGCCACCCAGTTCCTTTCTTCAGCAAATGTCACCACTTCCTGTGGCTCCTTTCAGAGACACCTAACGTTTCACCTTTTCACTTAAAACAAACAACTGAAGATATAAAACAAGGTAAATTAAATGACCCTTAAGCGAATAAATGGCGCCTGAAACTTACTCATCATCTTCCAGCTCTAGCTTGTGTTTCTTTTTGCAGGGAACTGAAACACTGCTGAAACAAACAAACAAACAAACAAACACACGCATCAGTCACCGGGGAAATGGACGGAGTCTGTGCTTTCCGCGTCCGGCAGGCTCCCCACCCCACACCTGCCCAGCGGGCCGGCTGCACGGGTCACACGGTCCCTCGCGTAAACGCTGCGAGGTCCGGACCTACGCGGGGACTGGAACCTAAACGCTCCATCCCAACGAGGTAACGGGAGATACACCTGGGGACGCACGGAGAAAACAGGCGTGCGGGGCCGGCGCCGGGACGAGCGCTTTCTTCCCAGGGTAGCATCACTAGGAGGACCCGCCGCGCGCAGAGGAGGCAGCGGATGGTCCGAGAGGCGCGGGAAGTTGAGCCCAGCAGCGGCCGCACCGCGGCCGAGAGAGGGGCGAGCGCGGCACCCGCCGGGGCACAGCGGGGCTCCCGAGGGCCCGGGTTCCAGCCCCGCCCGACCCGGTGCGGCTGGGGAAAGTCTCCTCACTTCCCAGCGGAGGCGCGACGCTGCGCGACCTCCGGGGACTTCCAGGGAGTCCCCGGAGGGTCTCTGGAGATCCGCTTTCTCAGCGGTAAACCGGAGCTGATAAGCCTCCCCCTGAGGGTCCTGAGGAGGGAGCACCCCGCCCTCCCGCCCCGCGCGCGCCGGGCTCCTCACCGTCCGCGCGCCGCACTCCCGCCGGGGCTGCTCGGGGAAACGCGGGGTCCCGGCCGAGGGGCCGGCTCTGCACCGTCCGCCCCCGGCGGCAAGGCCGGGCCGCAGAGGGCCGGCGGCTGCGGCTGCAGGAAGTCCGAGCCGCTACTCAAGGGGAGGCCGCTGAAGGGCCGACCGAGCGCGGCCATAGCCGGGGAGTTGAGCAGATTGCGCCCGCGGCCCCGGCCACCCGTGTCCCCAGGTCCGGCAGCTGCAGCCACAGCGACTGCTGAGAGGTGTCCGCCTCCGAGCCTGCTCTTGACCTCACGTCACGCCTTCTAGAACCCTCCACCCCGGGCCGCCCAGGAGCACGCCGGGATTTGTTGTGTGTGGAGAGCTGCTGTCGCAAGGAATGCCGGAAGTTGTAGTCTTAGCAGACTACAAACAAGATGGCTGCCTTGGTTTAGTAGGCTAAAGCTTGAGGATTGCTCTGTCCGGCCTTGAACGTGACCTAGGTTCGAATCCTCACTCCACCAGGTATGTAAATTATGTAATCTGTGTATCTTAGTTTTCTCAGCCGTAAGACTCGTTAATGATAATACCAACTTTATAGGGTTGATGGGAAAAGTAAATGAATTAAACATATAGAGCCCTTAGAATGCTTCTTGGCACACAGTACAGATTCAGCTATTAATTCCTTCTGTGTTTTAATGTAAATGAAGTTGGTGATGACTCAGAGGGAACAACAGGGAGTGTCAGTAAAGACCACAGAGGGCCTTCCAGTTTCTGGGGCATCCAGAGGCTTGCCAGGGGAGTTAGCGGAGTTGGTCAACCCAAGCCACTGATTATGCCTATTTTTTTCCATCACCGGGAATGGCCCCATCCATCATCCAGTCTGAGTTGCTTGTGCCAGCGTCAATACCCATCAGCCAAAGACCATGGAGAACATACCTATAATTGAACAAAGATGTGTTTATTAATAGACTCCTTCCAGTGAGGGAGTTTCTAGTAAGTAGAACTTTTTATAGGATTTGGGCTGTCTTAGGTAATTTGTGGGAAGGTTCAAGGAAATGGAGCTTTGTTCTAGAATTAATATTGTCAGGAAGCAGAGATAATTCTATGATTGGGTATCTTAGTCAATCTTTTCTAAAAGGTGTGAGGAATGAAGATAGGCTAACCATGTAATTGGTAAGGAGGCAACAGTCCTTCATATTAGCCAGGATAGGGAGATATTTGGTTGTTTTTGTGTTTTAGACAATGTTCACATTTTTGTGTGTATTCAGACATAATTACGAAGTAGTCTTGTTTTTATCTTTAAGATTTTTTTTATGCTCTGGCCAGTGTGGCTCACATGGCTGGAGCATCATCCCATAACTGAAAGGTTGAGGGTTTGATTCCCAGTCAGAGCGCATGCCTTGGTTGCAGTTTTGATCCTCTGTCTGGGAGGGTACCATCCCTGTTCCCTGGGTGTGGGAGGCAACTAGCCCATGTTTCTCTCTCGCATTAATGTTAATCTCTCACTTGCTCTCCCTTCCTCTCTCCCTTCCTCTCTAAAAGCAATGAAAAAAAATGTCCTTGGATGAGGATAAAAAAAAATTACATTTTGATTGATTGATTGATTGATAGAGAGGAAGGGAGAGAGAGGAGAGAACATCAACTTTTTGTTCCACTTTTTAAAACAGATTTTATTTATTTATTTTTTAGAGAAAGGGGAAGGGAGGGAGAAAGAGAGGGAAAGAAACACTGACACGAAAGAGAAACATCGATCGGGTGGCCTCTGGTAAGCGTTCCCACCAGGCACCCAACTGCAACCCAGGCATATGCCCTGACCAGGAATCTAATGGGCAGCCTTTTGCTTTGCAACTGAGTCACACCAGTCAGAGGTGTTGTTCCACTTATTTATGCCCTAACTGGTTGATTCTTGTATGTACCCTGACCAAGGATCAAACCTGCAACCTTGGCATATCAGGACAGCACACTAACCAACTGAGCCAGTTGGCCAGGGCTGTCTTGCTTTTATCCTGATCCATCCAAGTCACATCTCAGTCCTTGTCTGGTGTTGACATTCTGGGAAGTTGTCTAACAAGAGGACACCAAGTCCCAGCCTACAGTGCCAGGCCAGTTTCAGCTACCAAAATATGCTTTTCTCTTTTGAACCAAAAACCCAAGCATCATCCATGCCTCTTTTGTGTTCACCCTGTATTTAATCAGTTACCAAGTTCTATGGGCTTAACTTGTGAAATGCTTCCAGATTGTCTTTCTCCATTTCCATTGACCTCGTAATGACCTAAGAAAAAAATGAATGAACCCCTTTTGCCTAATTTAATATAATGGATTAGGTTTAAGTTTTCTTAGCGGCATTTATAAACCTGTTTTGCTTCCCTCAGATAACACACTGCTTACCTCAACTGGATTTAAACGATAGTCTCTTGGGTCATTTCTACAAAAGGCCACCAATTCCTCACTTTAAAAAAATACCCTGCTAGCCCCGGCTGGGTAGTTCAGTTGGTTAGAACATTGTCTCCACATACCGAAGTTGTGGTTTTGATCTCCAATCTGGGTACGTACAAATGTCAACCCATGAATGCATGGATGAGTGGAACAACAAAAATCAGTGTTTTTTTTTTTCTCTTTCTCACTCTCCCTACCTCTCTCTAAATAAATTTTAAAACCCTGCTAGATGATGTTATATACACATATAAATATAAGTATATATTTATAAAAAGGGAGTCTTATTCTATATATTAGTCTGAAACTTCTTTTCTATATTTCTCGAATGCCTATCCAGATTCATTCTTTCATTCACTGTTCTATACCAGGTTACATATCTCTTATCAGGCAATGTGCTAAAATTAACAATTTATTAGGTACTTCCTATTTGTAGGTGCTTTTTGCCTAGGAAAAGTCAAATATTCCTCCCAGTAACTCTAAGTCAGATGTTTTTATTACTCCCATTTTACAGATACAGCAGGTGTGGCAAGTTATGATTCCCAACTCCCTCAGCTATAAGTAAAGGAGTTCAAGCCCAGGTCCAAGACTTTAGACCCCGCCCTGGACTGCTAGGCTTTACTCCATCTCATTGAATTCCCTGGAAAAAGGTGCTTTGGTGCAATCAGGGAAAGCTTCACTGCAGTGAGTGAGAGAGACTGCTTGGGGCTTCCGATCCCTGGAAGCAAAAGACAGGATTATTGTGCCTTGTCTCCTGCCTTAGCCTGGGGAGAGCGGCTGCAGAACTTGACAGTGGCCACTAACGGCATCTTTTCTTCTCAGTGACAGTACAGGCCTGCCTCTTTGAAGTGACTTCCAGTTCATCTCTCATGGACTGGCAGGTCAGAGCCACGCAGACACGTAGAGAAACCCTTCCAGACTTCTTTCTCCTGGTGGCGAATTTTATTTTATCTCAAAAAACAACAACAACAGGGTTTTCTGGTTGTAAAACTAATATAGGTTCTTAGTAGAAAATTAGTGGAGGTGGCGAGAAAAGTACAGAGAAGCAAATAAAAATTGCCTTAGTACCATCCTGCAGAAAGCTCCACTGTTGTGAATATTCTTCAAGTCTTTTTTCTTATTTGTGTGTGCACACGTACATGCCTGTGTGCTAGTACACAGTACACACTTAAGAGCTCTACATTTTTTTATTTTACTCTCACAGCTGGACCACACGTAGTCATAGGTGTCTACATGAAGACAATAAAACTAGACTAAGATAGGATAAGTAATTTGTCTACATAATTAATAGTCATTAGTTAATAGAGCTTAGCAAGAAACAACCTTGTCAGGATGTTCAATACAAAATTATTAGGCTTCATTCCCCTAGGTAGAAAAGACACGAAACTGCCCTGGTTAGGTAGCTCCGCTGGTTCGAGCATAGTCCTGAGACACCAAGGTTGTGGGGTCTGTCTCCATTCAGGGCATACATGTTTCTTGTTTCTCTCTCTTCTCCTCTCTCTTTAAAATCAACCAATAAATAAACACTAAAAAAAAGAAAGTGAAAAGAGGAGATACTAAACTATTGATGGCAAATAGCTGCGAGGAGTGGGAGAGCCATAAATTTTAAGCTTTATTCTTTCCCAATAAGCATGTTCTACTTTATAGTTAGATAAAGGATATTTTTAAAATAAACATGTTCAATAGGATGAGGTACAATGGACTGAATGTTTGTGTCCCCTCCAAATTCATATGTGGAAATCCTAACCCCCAGTTAGGAGGCGGGGCCTCTGGGAGGCAATCAGTTCATGAGGATGGAGCCCTCATGAAAGAGGGGATTACTCTCATGAAAGAGACTCTCCCAAAGGGCTCCCTTGCATTTTTCACCACGTGATGACACAGCAAAAAGGTGCCCATCTATGAACTAGGAAATGGGCCATTTCCTAACACTGAATCTGCTGGTGCCTCCATCTCAGACATCTCAGCCTCCAGAACTGTGAGAAATAAATTTCCATTGTTGATACCACCCAGTCTAGCGTATTTGTTATAGAAGCCCAATGGATTAAGACATGAGATTAAAAAGAGGGGACCAAAAGAAAAGTGGAGTGCCTGTGGACACGCTTAACGTTCTGTTCCGAGGAACAGCTGGTGGTATGCTGGAGCAGGCTGGGGACCTCTTACACTTGAGACGGACTATGGAACAGCACGTACCAGAGGTGGAAGTCAAAGTCAAACATAGAAGGACAGCCTTACTGAGCAACTTAGAGTGACAGCTGAACCCGAGGTGATGTCAACAGCACCAAGTACCTGTGCTGGATTTCCAGTTGGAACTGAGGAGTCATCCTTAGCTGAGACATCAAGTAAGAGGTAATTAAAGCAGTCTTGGAACATCTCAGGGAGCTAATTCCAAACCAAAAACCAGTGAACAGTGTAATAAAGATATCTATGGGGGGAAAAAAAAGAGGTCAAGAGAAGCAATCAGTGCCAGCGGCAAACATTATTGAGCACTTACTGTGTTACCAGGCACTGTACTGAGTGCACTCCTCCATGTCAGTACCAGCATAACCCTGTACTAATATCACCACTTTGCAGAATAAGAAACTAGGATTCAGAGAGGGGAAGGACTTACCCCAGTATCCCAGAGTTTGTAGTGATGGTTCTGGAAAAATATGACTAATTTCAAAGCCAGGAATATCATTACTACTTTCCATAAATCAGTAAAAACATTCTTTCCTGCTGAGTACCCACAAAATACATATTCAAGGAAAGATCCCTGTATTAGTCAGTGTTCTCCAGGAAAATGGGGCCAATAGGTATACAGAGATACAGGGTGTGGCAAGAGTAGGTTTACAGTTGAGTATGCAAAATGTACGGTTTGGTTTTTATTTTTTTAGATTTTAATTATTTATTTTTAGAGAGG